AAAGAAAGAAAGAAAGAAAGAAAGAAAGAAAGAAAGAAAGAAAGAAAGAAAGAAAGAAAGAAAGAAATTTTGAACAGGGTGCTCATGCAGTCTAAAAAAACAACAACCAATGACTAATGATGTTTAAAATCGCTTGATGATTCCTTTCCCCAGATGTCTGTCATTTGCTGAGCTATAATAACCACTTGTCCTTGTGCCGATTTAAGGCTCTGATAAGGAATCCTGCGGATTGTATAACACGTTATACTCATGTTGGTTTGCTGCTTGATTTAAACGGGTAGCCAGCTATTAAAACTTGGAATTTCCTTTTCCTCGTTTCAGGAATTTTGCAGCCACGAAGAACCATCTTGGGTGTGAGGGGAATCTCTGATCTCCGAATTTCCTGATTTTGGCATTTTTGCGGGGTGGTGGTGGTGGAAATTATGGCGTCGGTGACAATCCAGCTTGTTGCTTTGGTCTGTTTGCTGGCCGTGGCCAAGACAGCAACGGGTGAGTTTTTGGTCTTCTTTTTCTTTTTTGTCTTCTTACTAATTCTTTTCACCCTGCATGCAGTTTCATCCGATTCGGCTTTAGGGGGGAGCTGTTATTTGGGTTGGGTTTAAAAAAAAAAGAGTCCGCAATATGAACAGAAATAGTTCAAAGTTGGAAGGAACCTTGGAGGTCATCTAGTCCAACCCTCTGCTCAAGGAGGAGACCCTAAATCCGTTTCAGACAAATGGTTATCCAATCTGTGAGATATAAGACAGCCGCCCCCCCCCCCCAATAAATTAATACTCACAATACGAAGACAAGTCTGGTGCACAATTTCAAAGGTTTATTGAAGAAAAGATTGCCAGGGCAGCCTCCAAGACCCTTCCCAAGGGGGATTGAGTACAAGGAGAGAAAAATTCCATATTCAAACAATACATTTATACCCCTGCACAAAACATGCCACACTTAAGAGGCCCTCCCCCACATTCTAAGACGAGCTAAACTATAGGCTTAAGGGTCAACATTAGAATTAGAGTTCTTTTATTGGCCAAGTGTGGTTGGAAACACAAGGAATTTGTCTTTGGTGCAAATACTCTCAGTGTGCATAAAAGAAAAGATACATTTGGGAAGAGTCCAGAATCATCAGGTACAACACTTAATGATAGTCGTAGGGTACAATAAGGATAGAATGAAATGGAATAGGAATAGAATAGAATAGAATTAAGAAGAGGAGAGAAAGAAGAGAAGAGAAAGAAAAGTGAAGGTATAGAATAGAATAGATAGAACAGAAGAGAAAGAAGAAGAGAAGAAGAGAGAAGAGAAAGAGGAGGAGAAGGGAAGGGAAGGTATAGAATAGGAATAGGAATAGAGTAGAGTAGAGTAGAGTAGAGTAGAGTAGAGTAGAGTAGAATAGAATAGAATATAGAATAGAATAGAATATAGAATAGAATATAGAATAAGGAATAGAATAGTATAGAGAATAGTATAGAATAGAATCTATACTCATCTAGCTAGGAATCTAGCTCAAAACACCAGAATAGAATAGAATAGATAGAATAGAATTCTGTTATTGGCCAAGTGTGGTTGGACACACAAGGAATCTGTCTTGGTGCAAATGCTCTCAGTGTACATAAAAAGAAAAGATACATTCATCAAGAGTCAAGAATCATCAGGTGTAACACTTAATAATAATCACAGGGTACAATAAGCAATCAAATCATACTAGGAAACAGTCAATATAGATCGTAAGGATGCAAGCGACAAAGTTACAGTCCTACAGTCACAAGTGGGAGGGGATGGGCGATAAGGAGTGATGAGAAGATTAATAGTAATAATAGTGCAGACTTTGTAATAGTTGAACAGTGTTGAGAGAATTATTTGTTTAGCAGAGTGATGGCGTTGGGGAAAAAACTCCCCTTGTGTCTAGTTGTTCTGGTGTGCAGGGCTCTATAGTGTTGTTTTGAGGAAAGGAGTTGAAACAGTTTATGTCCGGGATATGAGGGTGTGTGTAAGTATTTGTCATTGTTTTCTGTGCCTCGGTGGGTGTTTCACTGCTGGGTTTTATCTTGGGAGGGTGTCCCTTATTTACTTGTTGCCTAGCCCTGGGCAGATCTTCCTGTTTTCCAAGAAGATTGTAACAATGCACCATGTACTTGTCACTGAACACATTTTAGGTTTTAGGGTGTGTGTGTGGGGGGGGGTTATACGTAACAGAAAGAGTAAAGAGGAACCTTCTAGCTTAACCCTACTTAAACTATGTAAAATCCTATTATAAAAGAGTCACTTATCATACATTTCTCTCAAATCTCTTCTCGAAAACCTTCCGTGATGGAGCCACCCGCAGCTTCCGGAGGCCAGTTGTTCCGCTGATTAATTGTACATCTCCCTGGCAAGTGGAACTTCCATGTTGAAGGGCAGTTTACCTTTCAGTGAAGGGTTTAGTTTGCCATCTCTGATAGGCATCTGGCTGTCCTTGTTTGTAAACAAACAACACGAGGGACAGGTGGCTCCTTCGGTTAAGCAAGGACTTCCTGCTTTTTTAAAACTGCATTTTAATGAGGATTTTATTTTTGAGGAGGGATGGTGTAAGAAGAGTGAAGGGATTTTGCATATCTCCTTCATCACTTAGGATTAGCTGGGTGTGGATATAAAGAATCGGAATTATTTATTATTATCTTTTATCTATCTATATATATATGTGTAAAAGGAGAAATACCACTCATGCATCATCACAAAATCTCCAGAACCGTCAAGCCTACAAACTTGAAATTTGGCACGTAGGTTTCTCTTGGCTTCTAGGGGCTCACTAAGAAAGGATTTTTCAAAAGGACCATCAGAGCATTTAGAGTAGTTCCTCTATTATTATTGTTGTTATTATTATTGTTATTGTTATTATTGTTGTCATTGTTATTATTGTTATTATTGTTGTTGTTATTGTCATTGTTATTGTTGTTATTATTATTGTTATTATTGTTGTTATTGTTATTAACACGCTCTGATGCTAAGGAGTTCTACTCCCCCTCCCCACCTGGAAAGAAATCTCTTCCAAATGCAAAACACAAGCAGAGGAGTTTTAGTTTTAGTTTCACAGCAGCAAGCAGCTTTAGTCCAGAACAGTTGAGCTAAGCCACGCCCAGGCTCCTGGCTGTCTCCTTCTTGCTCACGCAGCAAATACTCTTTCGGTTTCCAAACAGCCCTCCACTCTCTCACCCGCTGACAGGACGCTAGCCAGATGGATACCGATGGATGCTTGTAGGCAGAGGCAGATTTCCCCCCCGCCCTTATTTTCCTCCCCCAAAACTAAGCCCCACCCCATAGTTTCGGAGCGAAGCACGGGTATCCAGCTAGTATTCTGTGTATAGATTTTTGTAAGAACGGTTCCCTTCTCCATCCAGGAAGCCGGGACTGCCATCGGAAGTATTTCGACGACGACAGAATGGTCTGTGTGTGCAACAGTACGTATTGCGACACCCAAGATCCCGTCCTTCTCCCTCCTTTGGGTCAGTTTGTCGTGTACGAAAGCAGCAAATCTGGGAAGCGGCTGGAGCGCAGAGAAGGTCGTTTCCAGAACAAAACAACCAATCCAGGTATTTCTTCCTCACACCTGTCAGGGACTTCCAGTTGCGTTTCCTTCGAGAACGGACCGAAGACCGTGATCGTCCGCGGCTTCGATCCGTGTTGTACCTGTTAGAGGGCTCCAAACGGAGCTAGAACCACCTTGAAGGGGTGGGGAAGAAGAGGGAGACCACCTGTCAGGTCGAGGGGAACCGGGTGTGTCAGGGACTACAAGTCCCATCTCTCCCCAAGTCCAAGTGGCTGGTGGCCACGGAAGGAAGCGGAGAGACAATAGCGCCTTCTCGAGGTGGTTTTTAATGTAATGAATACAGGCTGCTTTACCGATTAACCGATTAACAGAGTTAGAAGGGACCTTGTAGGTCATCTAGTCCAACCCCCCCTCACTGCCCTCGACTTACATCTGATTTGTTTAGTGACCGAAGTTACAGCGGAGTTTCTCACACTTACGGCCATTGCTGCGTCCCTGCGGTTGCACGATCAAAATTCAGACACTTGGCCACTGACTCATATTTATGATGGTCACAGTGTCCCGGGGGTGTGTGTGTGACATGGTCCCCTTTTGCGACCGTCTGTCAAGCTGGGAAGCTGGATTCACTTAACAACCGTGTTACTAGCGTAGTAACTGCAGTGATTCACTTAAGAACAGTGGCAAAAAAGGTCGTTAAAAGGGGGGAAACTCACTTAATGACTGTCTCGCTTATCGACAGAAATTTGAGGCTCAGTTGGGGTCATAAGTTGAGGTCCACCTGTAATAAAATACTATTACTACTAATAGTAATAGTACTAATAGTAATAGTAGTAGTGGATAATAATAATCATAATAGCAATAATAACAATAACAATGTTTTACCAGTCCCAGTCTCAATCGAATTGAAGATTAAATCTTAGAGGATGATGATGATAATGATGATTAATGACAATAACAATAACAATAGATACCTGGCAGCAACCTGTATCAACCATTAGCACCAGTCAGTGGTATTTGTGATGCATTTTTAAACGTTCAGTTAACTTGAGTTTCATGTTTAATGAATAAAGTAAATCATCATCATCATAATATAATAATACAGTACCTTAACAGTTCTTAGGTGTTGATTAGGACGTGAAGAGTTTGAATCAAATCTTAGATGATGATTATAATAAAAATAATACACTACCTTAACAGCTCTTAGGTCTTTGATTAGGACCTGAACTGTTAGGTTTTTATCTGTCCCAGACTTCGAATCGAATTGAAGATTAAATCAATAACAACAACATCTTGAACTGTTAAGCTTTTACCAGTCCCAGACTGAATCAAATTAATAATTATATTATATTATTATAATTATATAATAATTATATAATAATATATAATAATTATATTATTAATTAGATTAATAATAATAGTAATAATTATTCCATTACATGCTTCCAACTGTAACATTCTATTTGTGGTCTTTATTTTAGGTATTTATTTATAAAATCTACAGGCCCCTTATCTTTCTTTCCATCCTTCCCTTTCTTAGATATTCTTCTGATTTTGGAGACGGATCAGCGGTATCAAAGAATAAAAGGATTTGGGGGCTCCGTCACCGATGCAGCCTCCATCAACATCCTGGCTCTCTCGCCGAACGCCCAGAAAAATTTACTCCGTTCTTACTTCTCGGACGAAGGTGAACGTCGGTTGCAAGGGGTTTAGTGATGGAGGAGGGAGGTAGAAGGGGAACTAGAATGAATTGTGCTGAGAAGAAACTACAAGGTGGACGCGCGTTTGTGCATTCTATCCAGTGGTGGGATTCAGTCGGTTCGCACTGGTTCAGAAGAACCGGTGGTTAACTTTCTGAGCAGTTTGATTTGAATCCTCCCACCGATTTTTTTTCTCCGTGTTGTGTTGCTGCAATATCCACAAGAAAAAAAATTGGTTACAGAATTATAGCTGTCAATTTGTGACAATTTTTGGAGATAGAACAATCTTTGGAAAATGATATTCACACACATACTTATGGGCTCTCCACTCATATAAAAAATTCTCTGGAAACAATGTGCAAATGTGACTAACTAAAACTGTTTCCGGCTTTGATCGGATTCCCTTTGAGAATGGAACAGTTGCCTTTAGAAGTTGTGGGAGCTTCATCCCTGGAGGCTTTCAAGAAGAGACTGGGCTGCCATTTGTCAGAAATAGTGTAGGGCAGGGGTGTCCAACCTTTCACCTTCCCTGGGCCACATTAGAAGATGAAATTTTGGTTTGGGCCGCACATAATTAAATTAAATTAATTAAATTAAATTAAATTAAATTAAATTAAATTA